AAACCCCCTGCCTAGGCAGAAAAGCCTATACTGTTTCAGACAAATGGCTATCCAACATCTTCTTAAACACTTCCAGTGTTGGGGCATTCACAACTTCTGGAGGCAACTTCTGTTCCACTGATTCATTGTTCTGTCAGGAAATTTCTCCTCAGTTCTAAGTTGCTTCTCTCCTTGATTAGTTTCCATCCATTGGCTCAGAATAGAGCTGGAAGGGATCTTGGAGGTCTTCTAGTCCAACTCCCTGCTCAAGCAAGAGACTCTATACCAGTGTTTCTCAACCTTGGCAACTTGAAGATGTCCGGACTTCAGCTCCCAGAATTCCCCAGAAGGACTAGGGGAGACATGATAGCAGCCTTCCAATATCTCTGGGGTTGCCCCAAAGAAGATTTGGGAGTCAAGCTATTCTCCAAGGCACCTGAAGGCAGAGGACAAGAAGCAATGGGTGGAAACTAATCAAGGAGAGAAGCAACTTAGAACTGAGGAGAACTGACAGAACAATTAATCAGTGGAACAGAAGTTGCCTCCAGAAGTTGTGAATGCCCCAACACTGGAAGTCTTTAAGAAGATGTTGGATAGCCATTTGTCTGAAACGGTGTAGGATTTCCTGCCTAGGCAGGGGGTTGGACTAGGAGACCTCCAAGGTCCCTTCCAACTCTGCTATCGTATTGTATTGTATTGTATTATAAAACATAAAATTTTATTGGGACTGATTTTTAACTGCAATTATTTCCAATTTTTACTGCAAAATTGAGATGAACAAGCTTGTCATTTTGATAAGATATAATGCCACCTTGATATAATTGGATATTGGATATATTTTATATTACTGTATTATTATTATTAACTATATTTTATAGATTGTATTCTACTTGGAGTCCAGCTGGATTGAACTGGTGTATAAACTTCTTAAATAAGTTTCAATGTTCAAGTCTACACATTATATTCTAATCATGATTTATTGAGTAAACTAATTTATTCAGAGACAAATCTCTCTGCAATATATATGTGTATATATATATATATGAAACACCTTCTCTGACTTGCCTTTTATATACTTTTTAAAAATAAATTAGTGATACATTATTTTCTGTCATATATTAAAGGAAGAACTTCGAGAACTCCGGGAGCAACCAACTGATCCTCAGGCCCAGCAGGAAATAATTAACAGCATTGAAGAAATCTATTTTTCCAATGATTCCTTTGATATTGTTAAGTATGAGTTAGAGGTAAGAACACTGAATTGGAATAAACAGTGGTGTTTTTTTTTTATAATATACTTTGCTCTTCATTGCTATGTCACTGCCATTAAAAGAGAACACTTTTTTTCATTCAATTAATTTCTATAGCTGTGCAACTTAATTAAATGACTCTGAATTGCTTGCCATTCTAACATTATAAAACAATTTTAAAAAATACACAAAATAAATATAGCAACCATATTTTTTCTTAGTTTACTAAACTGAGTCAAAGTCACATTTTTCAAGAACTTTTCCCCTTAGGTTGATTTTGTGTGTATTTTTAAAATGAATTTTGATTTTGTTTATCTGTAGCAGCTGCCAACTGTTCTTAGTCTTCAGGAATTGGAAGAGTATAGAGACAAACTAAAACAGCAGCAAGCAGCTGTAAGTAGAAAGTTCTTTCTTCTTCCCTGCTCATTTTATTGATTTCCATAAATCTCATTACTTCTCAGAATAGTTATATGACTTTGAAAACAGGCTGAAGTACTTCAGTGAAGACAGTGAAGAAATTATAATTAAGATGATCACATTTCACTTTATGCTGTTTTTTATTTATTGCTTTATCGCCATGAACTATAACATTCCCAACCTTTTGCTATTGGTCATGGTTAAGTTGGACTGATGGGATATTAAAGTTCAAAATACTTGAATGACAGCAGACTTCTTATTCTTCTTTATAACTCCATGGGGCAATATAGTTACAATTCAATCCCTGGCATATCCAGTTGAAAGCATTTGAGACATATCTGTTATTCAAGAAAATTGCCCACTGGTGCCTGGTCTCTAAACTCTATTTTGAGTTTTGAAAATGAGCTTTCAAACATTTCTAGTCAATAATTATTTTTGCTGCTCTGTGAAATCTAGTAGAAAATATCGTAGTTAAGTGCACACTAAGCCTGTTAACCACTGTTTAGATACACACACAGCTGTCTGAGGTAACATACCACCATAATACAAACCCAAACAAAAGAAAGAATATAATTTAACAGTGTATAAATCAGTGGTGAAATTCATTTTTTTTTACTACCGGTTCTGTGGGCGTGGCTTGGTGGGTGTGGCAGGGGAAGGATACTGCAAAATATCCATTCCTACCCTACCCTGGGGCCAGCCAGAGGTATTTGCTGAACTACTCAAAATTTCCATTACTGGTTCTCCAGAACCTGTTAGAACCTGCTGAATTTCACCCGGGGTATAAATCCAATCTGGCGATTGTGAAGAAGTTCATATAATTAGCAGAGATTCAAAGATACTTTATTTTCTTCGGAGTCTTTCACATTTTCTGCATGTCAAAGGGGGAAATGGAGAATGATCATTTAATTTGTTATCTTTTTCACCTTCTTACAAATAATAGTTTGTGGCTGCTACCCTTTGCATGTAGGAATTAGATGTTGTGAGTCTTGCTTTCTTTAGGAAATGTATTATAATCTGAATGATAATGACAAATAAAGAGAAATGAATGCTTCAAAGGAATCATGTAACATAATTATTTCCTTGTCCCTTCAAGAAAAACAGCTATAATTGAATAATAAATAAAAGATATTTTGTCTTGTTCATTTCTTGCGAAACGCAATTTTCATATACTGGAATTCAGAATGGGAAAAAGAATTTATTAAATAGGAAAGCAATTTTTTTTTTAACTTAACCGGAGTAATACTGCATTCTGTAACCTTATATATTTTTTAAAATGCAGAGTTCTTTCATGCTTCTTTATAGATGAACCATTATAATTATGGCATACTGGAGCACCTTAATTTTTATTTAAGTATGTTCTTCAGTTTACAGTGGGGTGGAAGATTAATTTCATTAGTACTTTGGATTTTGGATGAAAATCTATAATTTTGATTTGGTTATTTTGCAAAGCATGGCAATCTCAAGGAGTGTTTATTACTTCTATCTCCATTTATTTAAACATGGAATAAAATTAAGTGGAATAAAATATTTAAGATGTATTATTCCAAATTGCTTAAGATCTTTTATGTGTATGATTCAGATACAGTTTGATACAAGTATATATTGTAACTAACTTTAAGTGTTTCATCTAAGGTATCCAAAAAAGTTGCAGACTTGATCCTTGAGAAACAGACTGCATATGTCAAGGTAAGGTAATATAAACAAAAACTTATATTTATAAAATTAAATATTTACTCTGAGCCTCGTGTGTTTACTGCAGAAAGAAAACTGAATTAGTGAAAAGTCAGGTTTGTGTATGTATAAGCTTTACAATTGATGGGGTTGATATATCAGAGGTCTGGTGTAGAATATAGTAAATATACATAGAGTTCTCTGATGCTGAAGTGCAAAAAGTGGAGTTGTTCTCCACTTTGCATGTAGTTGTTTGGGATATTCTTTACCACTCCAGCAGCATATCTTTGTCGTCTTTATGGGGAGTATCCTGCAGCTATGCTTCATGTTTATTTTCTAAGAAAATAAAGGTCATTCTGAAGGTTGGTACTTGGCTTTGTTGCATAGCATTTTCCACGTTTGGTTTTCTTTAATTAAGAAACTCTAAAATAAATTAAGATGGAATTGAGAGCCTGATTAGAACCAAGGAGATATATGAAGGCACTTTTGATTGTAGGTACCACATTATTTAACCCTTGTTTTTTTTTTTTACTTTAAGCCCTTTGGCTATTTCATAGCTTGCTATTTAAGCAATTCAGTAGTTTTCATTTGAAAGAAAAAAGTCTAGATAAAGGATTGAAAGACTTGTTTGAGTGGACATTACTTCTTGTGAGCATCTTTATTTTCCAATGAGTTATTATTCCCATTGCTATTTTTATATCATATCTGAAGTTCTTTTGAAAGGCAAAAAAGTAGTTTGATTGCAGTTTGAAAAAAATGTTATAAGTGTTGCAAAATTGCATATTTCATGTTCAGCACTAGGGGTATATTTAATTGAATTCTTGAGCCAGACCAGAAGCAGTTAGTGATCAAAAACCTCGGTGACAAATGATGCTGATTGCTTGGGGACATGTTGTGCTTTGTATCATTTTATTCCATGTTCCTTTCTTTCTGTCCAGCTACACATAGCACAAACAGCATATTACTCTTATTTGAATATTTGCTGCATCCTTTAGATTCTTGTCATTGGGCAAGAATAGATTACCTGATTTACATGTATTTTCCCTAATGGCAAAACTGCATTTAAGAATTTTTTTCAAAGAAACAGCTATAATTCTTGCCAAAAGTACAATTTGGTGTCAGGATCTAATGCATTCCTAGTGTGAGTTATCTTTGTGCAAGTGATGAATTCCTACATTGTCTTTATTAGATCATTATCATGGTTTACTTGAATGTTTAACTGTTCTTTACTTTTTATATAAAATGTTTGTATGAGAACATTGCATTTTGATCAATGGTTCTATTTCCCTGGAAAGCTAAATGGACTTTATTACATTTCTGTAGGAACTTGAACGAGTTACATCATTGCAAACAAGCCTTAAGTTAGCTGCTGTTATCTGTACAAATGGAAGACGGTATGATATACCTTTGAATTAAGTTTAATTACTTTAGAAAATAATGTTGTAAAAAAGCTTCACAATTGCTTTATTGTTTTGTTTTGTCTCATTTATATAAGTACAAAACATATAACGATATCCTGGGCTATAAGACATTGCTGCTTATATCTCTGGTAATCTGATTCATCATGCCCAATACTGCGTATGAATATGGTTGTTGAATGAAAAGTAATGCCTCATTCCTATGTGTTTAATTTTTATGGAGATAGTTTAATGAATGAAATAGGAAAATAATCCTTGAAATGATCTCTTTTATCAGTGGCATTCATTCCTATCTATAACCACCATAATTTGCAATGCATTTCTGCCATAATAGACTATTATTTTTTTCATACAAAACTTTATTCAAAAATGATTAAAATGCAAAACATTAATTAAAAAAAAACAGCATAAAAAATGCAACGAAGAGACATTTAAAAAGTGTCTTAAAGAAATGAATAGGGGTGTCAAACTCACGTCGTGGCGTTGTCATGAGATGTATGGGGACTTTTCCCCCCTTTGCTAAACTGGCCGTGGCCGTGGCCAGCACGTGACGCATCTCGTCTGCAGTGCGCGAGTTTGACAGTCCTGATACATATCTAACGTCCTCCCTAGTGAATGCTGATTAGTATAATACAGCAATTTTGGTTTCCCCCCTCCTTATGTAGCAGGCCAAAAGAATTTCAAACATCTACTCACCGCATTTTTCAGAGTATAAGACGCATCAAGGTTTTGAAGAGGCAAATTTAAAAAAAAGTTTTTGCACTCCGCAGACCTGTCAAAAACAGCCAGTTTTTCGTGAAAACAAAAAAAATGGGTATGAATAGCCTTTAGGAGGTTTATAGTGTTCCGGGGGGTGGGTGGAGCCAGAAATGAGCAAAAAACCAGCTCATTTTTCATAAAAACGGGCCCGTTTTTTTCAAAAAAGGGCATGCAGAGCCTTTAGGAGACTTATAGAGTGCTCCTGGGGGGTGGGGGTGGGGAATTGAGGAAAAACCAGCCATTTTTCACTCATTTCTGTTCTCCCCAGCCCCCAGAAGCACTTTGCAAGACTCCTAAAGGCTAGGCAAGCCAATTTGGTGAAGTGGGGTGGGTTTCGGGAGGCAAAAAATGCTGTATTCCTTATATAAGATGCATACAGATTTTCAGCCTCTTTGAGGGAAAAGAGTGCGTTTTATACTCCCCAAAATATGGTAGAAATTGTTAATAGACAAGATTTTTAAAAGCATCATGAAGGAACATTATATTTTGTCCCTTCATGCAAGTCCTGACAGTCCTTTCCACATTTTCATTTGAGTCAAACAGATGCCTGAGAAAGTAGTTCTTCAATTTTGGGAAAAAGCAAACATGTACCACTACATTGATATTTCTCTGTGGCAGATGGGGTAAGAAAGGGAAACCCAATTTCATAACTGCATTTTTAGTGACTTAGGAGGTGTGATGCTTAGCATTAACATTTAGCAGATTTTTCTTCTGCTTAATCATTGTTTGAAAGTTCTGAGTATTGTATCATCGTTCCCTGTTAACAGTGTCAGTTCAAGAAAAGGGGTCATGCATTTCTCACAAATCAGTTTTTTCCCAATTTACCATCATTGTATTTTTTGGACTGGTGATATATCCTGTTCATTTCAGCACAATTATCAACATTAAAAACTTGTGTTTAGTGTTGATTTTAATTGAAGCAACCCCTTTGGCAGTCAAAAAAGTCAACCATGGTGGGAAGTACTCACTTCAAACTTACATTTCATGAACAATAGCAACATAGCCTTTTCTCTCAGCCTTTCTATTAACTTAATGTTAAAGAATGGATGTTAAATAGATCCCTGATAATTAAACAATCACTTCTCTCACCTTCCATATACAGTAATTTTGTTCTTTGTTAGAAGTTATTTGCACAGCATGTGAAGCCATCTTGTTGATCGGCCTAGCATAACATCTGAATGCAGCTTGTAGGTACTCTGTTTCCCTGAAAATAAGACCTCCCTGGATAATAAGCCCAATCAGGCTTTTGAGTGTGTGCACTAAAATAAGCCCTCCCCGAAAATATTGCAACACAGCAGCAGCCATGAGGTGACCACACTCAATGGCTCTTGCACCTCAAAAATAACAAGACCTCCCTGAAAATAAGGCTAAGCGCTTATTTTAAGAATTACTTGTCAAATGTAGGGAAATGTATTATTGTATTGATTCTCCCTCCCCCCCCAAAGCTTTGGGATGGTATTTGACTGAGCTCTGCATTAACCTCAGATTGAATATTTGAAGATTAGTGCAATATGACTTTTGATAAAAGCTTTGATGTCAGTATTTTGTTGATTCTTTTTTTTTTGTGTTTTTGTTTAACTAAAACAATAAAAAAATTTCTCAAAAATAATATATTTTCTGTAGGCATCTGAATTCAGCCAAGGAGGGCTTTACTCAAGCCAGCTTGGGTCTTCTTGCAAATCAACGGAAACGCCAGTTGCTAGTTGGGCTGCTAAAATCTCTAAGAACAATAAAAACCCTGGTACGAACAGAACATATAATTGACAAATTAATATTTTATAATTTGTGCCACATATAATAATACCTTACTTCTTTCATTTTTAGCAACAGACCGATGTGCGTTTGAGTGAAATGTTGGAGGTAAGAAATAGATATAATTGAGTTTGAAAATGTTATTTGTTCTATATATTCCAAAGATATTAGAATAGCTTTCTTGGCCTTGTCCAAATTTGAGACTGTAGCTTTCAGAATTCACAGTCATTATAAGACCATTGCTATACAACCTACTGAAAAGTTGTGTAGCTTCTTTTAGAAGGGAGATACAGTCTGAGTTATTACTCCATGTCTTGACACCACTTGGCTCTTGCTGCCAAATTTCAATGAGCACTGTTGGAGGACATGTTCTTACTAAAGCCAGGAGAGGCTTTTGCTCACAGACAGCAACGTACAATAGCATTTTCTTGTTATTGCAGTTAGCAGTCCATTTTTGCCAAAGCAATTTCTGATGCATAGTTGTGGGGTCCTTGATGGTCTCTGAGCTAAGTAACAGTGTTAGTAAAGGAGTAGGGTTTGCTCTCATTTTATACTGGTTTGCTCTCATTTTATAGTGGTTTGCCTTGCCAATGTTGGTGGCAGTGGACTTAGTGGTTCCTTGATTGGGCTGTTGTTCAGTGTTAGCTTGCTTGTCTCAGCTGGTAGTTTCTTAATTGGGGTATTGTTGCTTGATTGTTGGTCTAGTGTTAATCTTGGCATTAATCTCTGCTCAGCTGGATGTTGATTTCTGGTGAGGTCTTTTTGTTTCCTTTTCGGCTTTTTGATTTTTCTTTTGAATGGTATGTGGATATTGTTTATAGCTATGCATCTGTTAATGATTGATTTATCTGAGTGCCAGGCTTTCAGGAATTTTCTAGCAATTTTTGGCTTGGCCTGGCTTAGGATGCTCGTAGTTTCCCAGTTGAAAGTATGGTTAAGTCTATCCATGTGTGGTGAAATTAAGAAGTTTTTAATATGTCTTCAGATTTTTTCGTTGTTGTTCATGCTCTGCTAGTGTTCTGTTTGACCTACATAATGACTATTATAGTCTTTACACAGTATGTTGTGGATAATTCCTATTTTTTCTTCTTTCGGTTTACTTAGGATGTTCTGGAGGCCTTTATTCCATTGTTGTTTTGATGGGGAAATCACATTGCCCCTATAGAGACCTTCTTTTCATCTAAGTGAATTTACATCAATGCTTCTAAACCTCAGCAACTTTAAAGATGGCTAGACCTTAAGTCCTAGTATTGCTGGCTGAGGAATTCTGGTAGCTGAAGTCCACACCTTAAAATTGCTGACGTTGAGAAACATTGGTCTATATCAGGGTGTCAAACTGGCGACCCGCAGGGCGGATGCATCATGTGCAGGCCATGCCTACTCCAGCTCTGCAAATGGGAAAACGTCATGTGATGGTAATGTGACGCGGCAAGTTTGACACCCATGGTCTATATTATCTTACATTGGCCTGAAGACTGCAGCTTCATGATGACGGTGATGTTTTATGATTTGTACTGCTAAAAGTCTGAAAATATAACTGCCATGCCTTCTTTCATAGCCTCTGCCCAATTGCTTTTCAAAAATATATACTTGATTTCTTACAGGAGGAAGATTATCCAGGGGCTATACAATTGTGCCTGGAATGCCAGAAGGCAGCTAGCACTTTCAAACACTACAGTTGCATAAGGTAACACCAGAGACATTTTGTGTAGCTGATTCTTTTTTGGAATCAAATAGGGTGAACGAGGAGGCAAAGTGGCATTTTAGACAGTTGTTAGTTATTTTGAATTTAGTTGGATTTAATTCTAGAGATTAATTTTCTAATTAGAATAAAAAGAATGGTATATGTATATGTTTAATGCTTTTAAATTGTACTTTAATAAAGTTTCCAAGATGCAAGTCGTGGCTGCTAACTATGACAGTGCACTTGAGTCTTAAGGGGCTTAGTTGTTATGCAACATAGTATTTCTGTTCCAACATTAACTGATTGTCTTGTACTGAAGGCTGTAAAGTCTCTGATGCATAAAGACTATATTTGCAATGCTAAACATACATCTAGAGACTGGGGCATACTTTAAGATTAATATGCATAGAGTTGGACTGCGTGGTAGAAATGCTTAGACTTACTTTGTACATAATGCTAGACCAAAATGTGATTTGTTTGTTTTTGGCATGACATATTATGTAAATTCAGTCTCTGAGTTGTTTGCTTGCTTATTTATAAAGTTTATGAAAGTTTGTTTTTATAAACTTTATAAATATTTTTATTTGTAATTTTAATCATATTACGATAAAAATTAGTAAATAACTATTGCTAAGCAATCACATTTTGTATTCAATTTCAGTAGGAACTTGTCCTTTCTCCAGTCCCAAGGAAAACATGATATATTTTTTTAGTGTCACAAAATTCTAACAGGTTTAAGGTTGGTCATCTTTCAAGGAAGGGATGGTTCCATACAGCAGGTTCTGCTAATAAGGGACATGCTTCCTATGTCCATTAGGTGGTATTATTTCAAGGAAAGGTGATATCTTGTAATCTGGATGATTTAAAAGATTTTAGAGTTTTAATATTTCAAATAGATGAAAAGTCATGTACTAACATTGGTCCAAGATTTTTATAATTGTACATGTAAAGGATTACATAGAATTCTAGAGATTGTACAATTTCATTTGACTGTATTTTATATATATTTTATTTTTTAAGGATGCTTGAGAATCTGATATATCTATATTGTTAAGCCAATCTTATTTTTACTTTCTCTACTAAATCTTTCCACTTGCGATTCCTTGAATATTGAATATTGTGATAAAGATTGCTATTTCTAAATATTTATAAACTATGTAAAAAGGTATGTAGAATCCAAGAAATATGTATTTTAGAAGGAACATTATATTTTACAGAAAAAATATTAAAAATAACATTCTGAATTTTTAAGAATATACTGATGTAGAATTGGATTTAAGAATGATTGCGTATAAAACTGACATTGATCTGTTCATTCATGTGTTTTATCACCTTTTTCTTTATATTGAAAAAAGAAAGTCAATTTATATGAACATATAGGCATTTTAATTAATCATGTCAAATACTTTAATACATTGTATTCCCAAAGAAATACTTATATACAAGTATTCCCCAAGTTACAAATGTTCACATAGCGAATGTTCAAAGTTACGATATCCCCACCAAAAGTATTTACAACCAAGGCCCAAAGTTACGTATGTTGCAGCACCACAGCAGTCGTTCGCCCTTGCGAACAACCACAGACACACTGCGATCTTTGGTGCCATGCCTGATAGGTTAATGCTGTGCATCTCCATCTCCTGGGTCTGGAGCTCTTGTCCAGCCAGATTGAGACGTGCCGGCAATGTTCCCTCTAAGCTGCACGGCTGCGCATGTAACAAGAAAACACCACACAGAAGTTACAAACTGCCGGGCAGTGTTTTTTAATGTCTTAAAATATGACTGGAAATATCTCCCCTCCCTCCATTTTCTCTCTGCACCGAACTCTCTCCTCCATCTGATGATTGGTGAAATCAAGAAAGACTGCCCGGAGACTGATGACGCTGCAGAAGGGAGAATTTCCATTGGTCCTCTGAAGCTTCGTCGATTCCTGGGAAACGCAATTTGCTGGTTGTAGCTTGCGTTTCTCTACACATCCGGGGTTTCTCAGGCATTGCATCATCTGAAGCCCCATTCTGGGCTCGGCAATCTTTCTGCGATCCCTTCGCTTTGCGGAGAGAGGGAAGCAGTGTGGAGTTGGACTGCCTGAGCCAAAGGGGTCCACGGAAACTTGAGACTTGATTTTTGAGCAGTACCAATCCATTCCACTCTTTCCTTTCCCTTACTGTCCTCCTTCTATCTTCCTTTCCTTTTCCTTTTTTCCTTTCCTTTCTCTTTTCCTTTCTCCTTTCCTTTTTTCCTTTCCTTCTTTTCCATTTCCTTTCTTTTTTCCTTTGATTTCTCTTTTCCTTTCCTTTCTCCTTTCCTTTCCTTTTCCTTTCCTTTCCTTATTTCCTTTTCCCTTTTTTTCTTTTCCCTTCCCTTTCCCTCCCTTTTTCATCCTTTCCTTCTTTCCCATTTTCTTTCCTTTTTCCTTTCCTTCATTTCATTTCCTTTTTCCTTTCCTTTCATCTTTCCCATTTCCTTTCCTTTTTCCTTTCCTTTCTCTTTTCCTTTCCTTTTCTTCTTCCTTTCCCTCCCCCTTCTTTCCTTCCTTCCTTCCTTCCTTCCTTCCTTCCTTCCTTCCTTCCTTCCTTCCTTCCTTCCTTCCTTCCTTCCTTCCTTCCTGGATGTCTTAGGGAGAGGGAGGGGACCCTTTTCCTCCCTGCCCCCCTCCCCAACATCTGCTCTGATGGCAATTATGGCTAAAAAAAATTCAGGTGCTCAGGCATGAAAATGTGCCGCTCAAACACTAAACTTTTCCGCACGCATTGAAATTTTTTTTAGAGAGAACATTGATGCCGGGCCAACCTCTTCCTTTCCCTGCAGAGCCCCAGCCTCTCACAACTGGGTGCAGCCCTGCTCCACCTCTTGCTGGAGCGCCGAACCCACATGGATTTTACAAATTGCTGCTGCAGAACTGGAGAGTTTGACATGTCACCAGCTTGCTCCCCTTGCTTGCCAGAAGCAAATTGCAAGAGGGCTCCTAAACAAACCAGCTTTCCAGTTTCACCATGTTTCTCTGCCACTGTGGAGCTGGAGGGTTTGGCGCCCCATCACCCTGCTCCCTTGGCTTGCCAGAAGCATTCCTTTTCCGAATTGCAACAAATTTGTGGTGCTAAAAAAAAAAAAAAAGAAAGATCAGCCTTTCCAGCTTCTCGCAAAAAAAAAAAAGAAAAAAAAAAGGTAAGATCCCATGAAGTTGGAAAGGCTGGTTTTACTTTTTTCTTTAGCCCCATGAACTTGCCTCATGGAGTTGCTTCGTCTCTTCTGCTCTGCATTGGGAAAAGTGACAACTTCAGAGGATTCTTCTTTGGTTTCCTATGCTTTTCATCCTTTTCCATTTATCCAGAAAAAGAAGGGTGTCTTGAGCTGCGAGGAGACATTCAGTGGAGCTGGAAAGCACGTCTGTTTAGCAGCCCCTCTTGCAATTTGAAAAATGAGTGCTTTTAGCAAGTGAGGGATGTCAAGCTCTGCAACTCCATAGTGGTGCAATATGTGAAATCAGGATGGCTTCGGCGCTCCAGCAAGTGGCAGAGCAGGGCCACGCCCACTTCTGAGAGAGGCTGGGGATGGCAGAGAATGGGAGAGGCTGGCCTGGCATTTCTCTGCCTGGCTGGACAAGACCTCTGATACCGAAGTCTGCGCAGGAGGAGAGTGTGGGCAGTGCAGTGCGCTCAAGCATGGTGCCAAAGATAAGTTAGCAGTTGGTGATTGGATGGAGAGGAAAAGTCCAAGCAGCTTGGGACCCCAATGGATGGGAAGAGGAGCATTGGATCTCTCAGTGGGTGAGGGGAGGCCTTTGGTGGCTGGACGCTGTGGTCCCTGCATTAGTCTTTCCATGGTTTCCCCACTCCTGAGATACCCCATGCACTCTTAATGACCTGTGTATTTGAGTAACTGGAGGCTTGTTCTTTTAATTGGCAATCTCCATTACATTCGTAACTCGAGGATTACCTGTATACAGCATATTTTCTTTAGCATACGAAATTTCTATCTGAACTCTCTTTTCCTCAATGGAATGGTGCTATTTTCTTTTGACTATTTTCCAGCAAATAGAGACTAAAATAAACTGGAGTCTTAACATGCCTTAGTTGTTTCAATAAATGAATGACACAAGTGAATAGTTTTGGCATAATTAATTACATCATTGAAAGAACAAATAATTATTCCGAGAACAATTGTAACATTTGTTCTGTGTTCGGTATTTGAGGTATGAACCACAGATTTCCATCAGTTAACTTTGATATGAATAAAGTGGCTTTTTGGCAGAGCTTATATAGATATTTCTTTTTTAAAGAAGCCCAAACACAGTTAGCTCTAGAACGGAATATAAGCTCAATTTATAAAAAATAGACCGCTTGTCATCTGCTTTTTTCTTTGGTTGCTCCTATTTGTCTCCCCTTCATAAGAAATGGAGTTGAGAAAGTGTCCTCACTGATGTCAGACTCCGGAGGCTTCAGAGACAGCACATAACAACCAGAAGGCCCTGCCCCCTCTCTGCCTCCGATGCAGAGCCCTTGTCTGAGCCTTCCCCAGACTCCAGGACTGACCCATGTTCCTCCCCAACCTCCTCACTGTCTGACTCTGCTGCCAGCTCTACAGGCCACCAGTGGACCACAACATTTCTATGCTCCTCTACATCAAAAAGTTATTTAACTTTTGATGGATCTCAGTTCAGAAAGAGAAAGAATTCTTTGAATTCATTTTAACATCTATGTCTCTAGACAAATCCATGTAGTCTTTTTACCCGCAGGTATATGGGGGTCATTGTCTTTTCCAATTTATTTTTTCAACTTTCCAGTCTAGTCTGCAACCCTGGTTTCTGATGGTCTCTCATTTAAATAAGTGTAACTCTCCTTAGCCTTTCTGGAATGAGCTAGTTTAGATTAGATGCTGTCACCTGCTATAGTAGATCCTTATCAATGCTACGAGATTCCTGAATTTTGAAAATTATTGAGTGGACTTCCCATTTTATTGTTTGGTTTATGCAAATTACATTGTTTCTACACCAAAGTATAAAATAATTATCTGGTTATCGGATGTTTTGGTATAAAATGTATTGTCCATAATATTTTAGAAGAATGACCTTAAGAGGTTTCTGAAACGACACTAATATTCATCTTAATTTGAAAAAAAAAATAACTTCTGAAATTTGAAAACACTATAACTTCTAATGGTTGTCTTTTGTTTTGCAGTGAATTGAATTCAAAACTACAGGACACCTTGGAGCAAATTGAGGTGAGTTTAGATGAGTGTAAGTAGTTTTGCCCATTAAATGATAAAAGTATTTTCATCATGATAGATCAGACTGAAATCCTATCTATTCGAACATTCTGTTCCCACGGAATTTAATTAGATGCAGGATGCAAGTTCAATAGCTCTTTTCCTACTATTGTTCCTTATGCTGACTTTGAACTAAAGATAACCTGTAGTATAGGCATTTGAATTAATAGCTTTAAGATTCAGAAATTTGCTAAATTACAATTAAAAGCCTGCTAGCTTGGTAGTTGTCACCATATTTTAGCAAAGACTTTCATCATTTCATTATTGGTATGTACTGTCCGCCCAGGATTTTACACACAGTTTAGATTCATTGTGTACAGTAATCCTACTTCTATTATAATTAGAGTTTTGAGAAAATGGAAGACGCCTCCATATCCAATTTCTCCACAACCTACATAATTAACATGCCTTTATCATAACCCATACTTGCATTTTAATTAAACACTAAAGCTGTAAATCTTACGAGGAAGTAATAATTTCCATAGATCATTTAGTTGATTTCTGTCTACTCAATATTCCAAAAATAAGATTCTCATACCTTTATTTGAAGGCATTTTGTTTTATTGTGAACAAATGCATCAAATGTATTTGAATTGTAGGTTTTTTTTTCCATGCTATCTTTTACTAAATGCTAAATGATTGTTACTTTACAGGAGCAGTTAGATGTTGCACTTTCTAAAATATGCAAGAACTTTGACATAAACCATTATACTAAGGTGCAACAGGCATACAGGCTACTTGGAAAAACACAGGTTAGTATTCTCTTGTTCAAATTGCATCCTGATATGCAGTGGGTTAGCCTTTCTTAGGACGGTTTCACACTTGTGACCATGCAGCATACCCATGGTCATGTGATCAAAATTCAGGCACTTGGCAACCTGCATGTATGTCTGTTACAACATCCTACTATCGAATGATCACCATTTGTAAAATTCACAGCTGACTTCTGACAAGCAAAAGTCAATGGGGAAGCCAGATTCTCTTAACAACTGCATGATTCATTTAATTGGAAGATAGCTCACTTAATAACTGTCTTGTTAAACCATAGAAATTTTGGACTCAATTGTTGCCATAAGTCAAGGACTATGAGAGGGGAGAGAGAGAGAGAAAGAGAGAGAGAGAGAACACGACAGAGCACAGCTGAAGGAAAATTGAGTCTTGGAAATGAGAAGCCTTATTAGAATGTTCATTCATGGCACTCAAAATCAATTTTAAATCATGTGCATATTTCTTTTTAAAAGAACTAATTTTGCATTTACTGCTCCCTGGAGAAATAGTTTAGAATCATAAATAATTAAAGCATAGTCTCAGAATGTCAATGTGAGAAGAGCAAAATATATTTGTTCCCCTTATTTCAATAGGGTGTTCTTTCATGATTCATCTCTATTTTAGCTTTCAATTATACATTTCTCTGGAGGGGGAAAATACACTTTTGACTGGGAAACACTCAGTTCTTAATTTCTGATATTATTCATGAATGAAAAAAAGGAGTATCTTGAGATCTAATTATATTGAGGTGGGAGCAAAATACGACTCTTATTCTGATTTTGGGAATATCATTATTAGTCACTTCTGGGAAGGAAAACCTAGGAAAAGAAACAAGGAAACCCTTGACCTTCAATTTTCATTTAAGTATAAAGAGATACAGATGATCAAATTTGCTATAATGGATTGGAAAGTGTGCTTTGAAGTCCATGTTGGAAGAGCCTCGGTGGTGCAGTGGTTAGAGTGCATACTGCAAGCTACTTCAGCCTGCTGGCTGCCTGTAATTTAGCAGTTCAGATCTCACCAGGCTCAAGGTTGACTCAGCCTTCCATCCTTCTGAGGTGGGTAAAATGAGGACCCAAATTGTTGGGGGTAATATGTTGACTCTGTAAACCCGCTTAGAGGGGGCTGTAAAGTTCTGTAAAGCAGTATATACCGTATTTTTCAGAGTATAAGACACACCAAAATTTTGAAGAGGCAAATTAAAAAAAAAGTTTTTGCACTCTGCAGACCTCCCAAAAATGGCCCGTTTTTCTTGAAAATGGGCCCGTTTTTTAAAAAGGGCATAAATAGCCTATTTAGGAGGCTTGTAGAGTGCTCCTGGGGGTAAAAATGAGCAAAAAACAGCCAGTTTTTTGCAAAAAAAAAGCCCGTTTTTTGTCAAAAAAAGAGGGCATGCATAGCCTTTAGGAGGCTTATAGAGTGCTCCTGGGGGCTAGGGTAGGGGGCAAAATTGAGCAAAAAACGGCCCGTTTTTACGCACCCAGATTCCCAGCCTCTTTTTTGAGGGAAAAAGATGCATTTTATACTCTGAAAAATACGGTAAGTCCTATTGCTATTGCTATGGTGCTGTCTGAGCTTGTTTCTTTGTTTGCAGATGTTTCATTGTGCAATTTGGTAATATTGGTCTGAATGAGTTCTCAAGATTTGCTCCCTATTTATATACAGTATTTTACCCTACCAGTTTTGGTGGCAATATGGTTTCCTGCTTAGTGATTCCTTGATTAATGTATTGTTTCCTACCTGATTGTTTGACTACTTATGCTATTGTTACTTAGGTGGGTAATAAAACACCTGCAAACAAACCAAATTCAGAAAGTGCCAAGGATTTCATAGTTTAATTCTGAGCTATAGATATATAGATAAGTTCACTTTGTTGGAGTTGCAGAGTGTCCAAATAGAATTAGGCAACTGAATGATTATATGATGTCTTTAAATCCTCTTCATCTCTATCCAGACAGCCATGGACCAACTACATATGCACTTTACTCAAGCCATTCACAATACAGTATTCCAGGTTGTTCTAGGGTATGTTGAATTGTGTGCAGGAAACACCGACACCAAATTTCAGAAGCTTCAATACAAGGATCTTTGCACAGTATGTAGTTCTACAGTGGTTTTGAACATTTAATGTTTGTATATGCTGATGTGCCTACCTATTTACAAAAACAACCTTTTAAAATTAAGTCCATATTTAATTTAGGATGAAATCATATGTTATAAATGTAAAGCAATCTTTTAAAATTAAGTCCATAATTAATTTGGGATAAAAGAGTGTCATAAAGATAAAGTAGGATAAGATGGATATGGAAAATTAAAAAGCATATTTATTTATAAATTTATAAACTCTGAACTAACGACTGAGCAGCTAGCAATATAGAAAACACAAAGTAGAGCAAAATGGAGTAAAAATAGTGCAAAACAATGCAATGCCAATGCAATATAAAGTGATAAGGGCCATAGCAAAACATAAGAAACCATGTATTTATTTTACACTCTCAACTAATATCCTGGCCTTGCTGCCTGACAGAAAAATAAGAATGCTGGTAAAGTCAAGGCCATCAGAATTTCTTGGAGGAGGCAGTTTTACAGGGTAGAACTACTTAATGAAGTACTTGGATGGAGTTTTCCAAGAATTCCCTAGACAATAGGCTAGCCTGGGAAGCTGAAAAAAATAAATTCCCCCAAAAAGCATTGGGACGTTTAATACCAGAAAGTCTTTAAATTTTATAGAAGTGTTTGCATATGGATCTTAGGATTCTTCACTTAATTAAGCACAATCATCAGGTTTAATGGGAAGTGACTATTTTAGGAATTGAATTAATTCAATTAATTAATTCTTAACAGCATTTATTTTTAAAACCTGGGGAAAATTGTATATATTGTACCTAGCTTGTTTGGAGATTTAAAACACATATTTTTCTTTAAAAGAAAACACTTATGTTCTTAATTTAAATGAACTAATTGACAAGGTAGGAAAAATTCAGATTTTAAGTGCTAGCGCCTGTTGACTTTTCAGACTAATAGTGTATTTAAAGCCTGCTAATTACTGCACTATCAACAATTCTTGAATGTTTTGGGGAAAATTTATATCACTTTGTAAGTACAAGAGTTACAAATATTTTATATTAAATGGAAAATGGTCTGTTTTTATTGGAAAAGAATAGGTTTTTTTTAAAAAAAAATGCAATCCATTTTAGAAGATTTTCAGGCATGTCCCAAAGCTACTTTTTCAAGAGGCAATGGAATTTTCAGATTTTTCTTTGAAGATGTTTCACTTCTCATCCAAGAAGTTTCTTCAGTTCTTCAAAAACGTCTTCAAAGAAAAACCAGAAAGTTTGCCTCTTGAAAAAGTACTTTTGGGACAATCCATTATAACTTGAAACTGATGAACAAGAGATAAATGTTCATGTTTTTTTTTTAAAGTGAGGAGGTTGGGTATCCTCTTAAGAAGAAATTATTAACTTTCCATCTGTAGGAAACAGACATATGTATTATTAAATTACAGAAGTATATATGTAGCTTATCAGTTTTAATGTTTATTTATTTGTGTTGTCAGCATTACAGTTAAAATTAAGACATACTAAGTGACATAAAATTTAAAATACAAAATGCAAGATTAAAATGTACAAGTTAAACAGTCATTTTTAATTGTTTTGTGCTAATAGTTAACTTTTATGCCTATTTGGCATTATTTTTTAATTAAGAAAGCAAGATACTTTCATAGACCTGTTTTGTGTATTGCACAGCACATTACATCAGACAGTTACATTCCATGCCTTGCTGATTTGTGCAAAGCTCTATGGGAGGTCATGCTGAGTTATTATCGGACAATGGATTGGCATGAAAAATATGACCATGGGGAGTCTCCATCTTCTGGTAGGAAATGCCTCTTCTATTTTCAGTTTCCAAGCATAAAAATTGGAGTGGAGCCCATCTGATCTGTTTGAATAACATAGTCAATGTGTGTCCATTGTTTCAGTGGGAAGCTGCGTGTCTTAGTTTAAGGAACATGTACCAAATGGTTGTTGTATTTTATATTCAGCATCTTTTGTGATTAATTAGCATTTTCTTTTTCACATCTAAACATTTGTTTGCTAGAAGCCATTAACTTTTATTTGGTCATAGATTTAAGGGCTTAATTATATTTAGCATGCTTGCCTAGTGCAAAATATACACAACTTTGGTCACCAGAATCTCCTTCTACTCTGAAAGTAATGGTTTCACGAACTCAAAAATGTAATATAAATATTAGAACCTTCAGATCTACCCTCTTCTATAAAACTCATTGGAAGACTTTGAGCCAGTTCATTTTCTCTCAGAGCAGTTTACTTAAGTCTTTGCAGCGGTGAAGTTAAAGGGGAGGTGCTATGTACATATAAATTCCTGGAAGAGAGACGAGATTAACTATACTTAGTTTAATTAATTGTCCTGGTTCCACCCACTCCTTTTTTGTTTCTATTAAGCTATTCATTGGCTAAATATGATCCTTAGCTTGAAAATGTATCTCAGGTCTCACATATACTGTAAGGCTGAAGTCTAGAACACATTTATTATGGACTTATTTTTGTTGAACAGAGTAAAGTATTTTACTCTATAATAAGTGAGACGAGGACAAATGATTAAATGAGCATCATGCTCTTGTTATGCAGGCTCTGCTGCTTTGGTACATTTTGTCAGTTTGACAGAACCTTTGGTTTTGGGGACGTCTCTATTACATACCTTATCAGACTAGATCTGTGTGATTGACTGATAATTTTTTTAGTGATGCAGTGAGGCATCAATGTGGCAGTGAGCATTGGGCTACATTCAGTAGCATATTAGAACAAATCTCTAGGCTCTTTAAAACAGAGCTATTTTATTGTTACATGTAATTGGACTCTTTATCATCAGGACTCATCAATCCCAGCCAGCAGATTAATCAAAGACAATGTGAGATATTTTCTACTTGTATCTACTCATAGATTCTCTGTCCTATGTTATAAAACACAAGACTTTGTTTATAGTGTTTAATTTCTATTTGAAGATGTTGAAGATTCAAAAGAAATAAAATGAATCAACAATGCCTGAAATCTTTCCTTTTTTTGTAAAACTCAATTTTCTCCTCATTTCTGATGCCTGAAATTACTGTTAAATTATATTTTAGATGGAAATAACATCCTGGATACTGAGGAGACCAATTTTGACCGCAGCTACGTGAAAAAAAAATTGGAGCATGGCCTTTCACGAATATGGCAGGTTTGTTTGAAATTTGATCCATCAAAATAAGATCCATTTCTTTGCATGATTTTAAATGACATGCTTAAAAAGTGGAAAAAAAGATTATTTATTTATCTTAAAATTACAGATGTTCCCTGGGGAATGAGTATCAGTTGAAGGGCTTTGTTTTACGTTGTATCTTATTCAAGTTTTTGTATTAAGTGCAAGGTGATTAATTTTACTGATTTATCTTGTTTCATACTGGATTCTTTGTGAAAGAAGGAAGAGTGAGTCTTAGCATTGTCATACTGCAGCAACATTTTTGTCTTATGCATCCACATTCTGCTTAATGCTGTTTTGAAATTTTAATTGTTGCAGTGCAGTGCTCCTGAGTTATGTGCCAGATTCAAGGAAATTGATGTGAATAACATCTCCAAGGACTATAATCATGAGTTTTCTTTCCAAATCTTGGGTTTTGAATCTTTAGTTTTTGCAGTCTTGAAATTCTAAGACTGAGGCCTTCTTTCTAGATCATGCTGATGACCCTAAATTTTGTTGACCATCATGCTGCTGTGAAAAAAAAACCCCAACTTCATTTTTTTAGTCTGATAACAGTTGCTAGCAAATTACAGCTCTTGAAACTTTCATCCTGCTATCATCAATTTAAAGGACATATCTTATAGCATCTTCCATTGTTGAAGTACAAAAACCCATTCCTGTGAAATGCCAATCTTGACAGCAATTTCCCTTCAATGATTCATTTATTGTCTTTAAACAGTTCGTCAACCTTTCTCACATGAAACTAGTTGTTTGGTGTCATAGGTCATCTGCTTAATTCTTGATCCACAAATAGCTCTTCCTAGTTTACCATTTTTTCTGTTGTTTGATTCAGCAATGCACACTACTCGTGTCAACACAGCCATCACCGTGAACAATCAGTATCTGGTGGTGAATTCCATTTAGAGAAACTCCTTTGGTAGTAAAAAAATATAGTCACTGCATTGCTTAGAGTACACTCATAAGTATTCACTGCAGAATACTTAGCAACACAGCCTTTTCTCTTAGCAACTTTCCCCAACTAAAGTGGAGGAACAGATGCTAAAAAACACACAAGATCTTCTACTGCATCTGTTCTATGATTTTTAGATGATTTATAACATTAAAGGCATTACTTTTTATTCAACCATCTGTTTTTTTTAATCTATCTGTGCTTGTACTAACAGTTGGTTGTAAATAGGTATTTAGTATCTGAGGAATAGTCCTAAACTGCTATAATCAAGTTGAATTTCCACAGTGTTATCGATCCTACTTTTAAATGAAAAAAAAAAATTTCTGAATAAAATATAACAGTAATGTGAGATGTGAACAAGATCCGCACATGCAGAATTCAAGCTAACTGTAGTATTAATAGCCACCCAGAGTGGGCTTAGCAGGAAGAGGGATAGCATATAAATTTAATAAATAAAACAAAAAATATGTTCTGTCTATACACTTTTGAGATTGTACAGTGATTCCATGTTTGATCCCTCCCTGCCAGATTGGGTGCTTCTCAACAAACCAGCAAGGGACAGACAATAAACTGTGTTAACATTAATTTTAATTTTAAAACTGAGTTTAAATAAACAACTATCCTGCAACTCTTTGGGGGATCTTTGATGAGTTTCAGCTGATGAGCAAACAATGAGCAAATGAGATTTTCCCTTTTTTATGCTTTGTGATTGTTTACTTATAAATAGTTAAAATAGCAAATTATTGTTTCTATAGTATTTCAGACTTTTTGTTTTAAATAGGATGTCCAATTGAAAGTGAAGATCTATTTGCTGGGCACCGATATGTCTAACTTCAAATATGATGACTTCATATTTGTACTGGATATTATTAGCAGGTAATTTGGATAGCATCTATTTTAAGGAAATGTTATCAAAACAATTATGCAGAATAGGTTGACAAGGTTCTGTATATAATACTGTATAGGTATATAATTACTGTTAATTACTTAGCCCATTTGGCTATTAATAGGACAATCTCCCGAAGCTCTTAGTTATATTGTAGTTTAACTTTCTCCATATTGGTGCTCTCCTACAATCCCTTAGCCTGCAAGGAGGATCAATTTATTCAGATAAATTTGATACACTACCTTAGGTAAGTTTCCTATATTTTCATGCAGTAAAAATGTAGAAAATGAGACCAAAGCACCTTTTATAAATTATGAACATATTTGAAAAAAGTTAAGTGTAATGAATAGGAACCAGCCTCAGTTCCCAGTTGCTCCATAGAAAAGTCTCTACATGCACTGTAGGTCTGCAAAATTTTTTCCTTTGGATATCTTATGTTGAAGACATACACAGGCATAGAGATGATTCTGCTAGTAATTTGGATCCAAGAGATATAAAGCTTTATATGTTGTAATGAATTGGCTTGGAAAACAATTGGTGATAGATTCAACTGTTTCCACTTTGAAGTGATGTGATATCTCCCAAAAACACAATTTACCATCTCTGCAGCCATCAATTCAATTAGTTATAATTTTTGTACTGCACTAATCAAGCATTGAAACTATTAGCAACTTTGTCATTTTTGTCCACTATTGATGAATGATCCAAGAAGATCATTGTGAGCCCAAATGTTCTGATTTTTAGGATTTATAAATGAGGTTCTTCCATATTTAGAGATAAGTGTCTTATTCAAATCAGATTCAGGTTCTCACTAAATTAAGTTTTATCTATGCTGCTGTTGTAGGCAAGTTAATATTGCAATATTTTGCAATATGCCTTTAATTAGAAAACCTTTTGGCAAAGCCATTTCAAAACTTCTAGATTTGCAGAGATTAGAGACGCATAAAAGACAAGAGTTTTAAAAATATTTACAATTACATACTATAGTGAATGTTTAATGGGGATATTATTTTTACTAGGCTGGTGCAGGTTGGAGAAGAATTTGGTGGCAGCAAGTCAGAAGTGTTGCAAGATTCCATTAGAAAACAAAGTGTTAATTATTTCAAGAATTATCACAGGTAAGTTTTACAATTTTTTCAGTTGTGGAAATTTAATACTTAATATAGTGGACAAATTATAAAGCACATATGCATCATACATTATGTGGTGTCCATATAATAATAAGAAGCAAAGTGAATGCTTAATTTTAAATGTGTAAATTAACATAAAATTTTCTCTAAAAAAGAAAGTCTTTTTTTCCATAATGAAGAGATATGAGAACTGACGTCTATTAATATAGGTCTTTATTTGTCTGGACCAGTATTGCCAAATCTGGCTAGTAGTAGCCAGGAATTATCTTGGGAATTCTGTCAGGAATTCTTGCCAAGCTTTTCCCCATCCTTATAGATGGCAGAAATTAAATCTCAGACTTTGAGTAGCAACTTCTGATTATTTGACTGCTAATTTAAATATATTCCTACATAATTTCAATATTGTACAGAATATAGCCTAATCCCTAATTCCATTTGTACATTAGGCTGTCAAAAATAAAAGAACCACAATGTAGACTGCTCTTGTTATTAAAAAAAGTATCTTTCTTTTTCTAGCAATGAAGAGTGCTAAACTACTGAATAATTAATCCCACGTTTCACTCTAAAATTTGTGCACAGGCCTTCAGGTCAAGCTTAATAATGACTGTTGGACAAATCTCTGCAGTTTTCATGGCAAGATTTTTGGAAGTAGTTTGTCATGAAGAGACAGTGACTGTTCCAAAGTTACACATTTTAGGACATTTTTAGGACATTTTATTAAGATTTATAGGCCGCCCTTTTCCCTGAGGGGACTCAGGGCGGCTTACAATCACAGGGAAGGGGGTGCAATACCAAAAGACAAACAGTAAGTGAACAAAATAAAATGATAAAACACAACTTGCATTCCACAGTCAACACTCGGGCGGGTAAATTGGGAACCTATCCCCAGGCCTGCTGGGAGAGCCAGATCTTAAGGGCTGTGCGGAAGGTCTGGATGGTGGTGAGGGTACGAATCTCGACGGGGAGATCGTTCCACAGGGTCGGAGCTGCAACAGAAAAGGCCCTCCTCTGTGTAGTCGCCAGTCGACATTCACACACAGACACACATACACAGTTGGCTTTGTGCCTAAGACAGCTTGAAATCATGATTTCCTTGTTTCTAATCTGATGCTTTTAACCAGAAAACCAAACTGACTTTCACTTTAAACTTAAAAAAATTCATTCACATTACTATTTCTGGTTGTTAGGCTGCTGGTTGATTTGAGTCTCTTGGCATATATCTATTCAGATTTTGTTCAGCAAAACTATTCAGTTTTTATAGTTTCTAAAGGGAAATGGTAAAAGAAAATTACATTATTTGCTGGATATTTTGAAAACTGTTTTAACTCTATGTTTTAGCTTGGTGAGCAATCTCAAGAAGAAATAACTCAGCAAATGTTTTTGTAAGCTACCTGGAGTCACTGAGAGTCACTTGGGTCACTATATAAATTTTCATAAATAAAAAAAGTCATTTAAGTTAATAAACAATCATATAATTATTCTTCATTATAGTGCTTTTCCAAACTTTTTACTGTTGCTAATTGTTTTTATGCTAAGAGTGATAACATACATTAGTTATATATCTGTAATTTTGCTTTAGCTGTCTTCTAGTCAGTGGAAAAATGTTGTATTTCTTTTTGGGAGTAAGGATCATAGTTTTTAGAAAATCTTAAATTTACTTGTTGGGAAAATACCATAAGGAAAGCCAACCAGAAGAGGTAAAAGGCTAATCAAGTATTGCTCCCATTTTGTTTCCTGATAACTGTTATTCAAAGACTCTACTTCTAGTTGGGAAGTTAGAATAATAATGTTATGTGCATTATGAAGCTATATATTTTTAAATCTAAATTACTATAGCTTAGTTTCATCGAATGATCCTAGTGAAAACAGAACCAACCAACCTCCATCCATCTTTCCCCTATCATGTATAACCATACGGCTCTGGTGAAGACTTTGCTTCTTCTTTGCTATTTTTTCTAAAATAAGCTATATGGCTTTCTCTGACACTAATTATTTATTTCAGAACTCGTCTTGAAGAACTGCGAATGTTCTTAGAGAATGAGACTTGGGAACTTTGTCCTGTTAAATCAAGTTTCAGCATATTGCAACTTCATGTAAGTCCAGACCATTTCAAACACAGGAAAGATGATAGCTGCTTTGATCAAGGCTGCTACATAGTGGTACTGAAATATTATATCATATACCTTTTTACTCCAAAAAAGAGGGTGAAAATCTGGGTGCATCTTATACTCCGAATGTAGCCACCGGGGCTGTATGATGAAGCGGACGCTGCAGAGATTGTGATGGCTGGAAAGGACAGACATTTCGCTTTTGGGACTCCCACTCAGCTAGCCTCCTGGGAGGGCTCAGGCAGTGGCAGCATTGGCAGCGGCTCCTCACATTGCTGGGGAGTGAAGTCATTGGTATACTCTGCCCTCGCCCTCCTCCTCCTGCAAGTGAAAGGTGCCTCAGAGATTGTCTCCCCTGAGCTACCCGCCGAATCTCTGAGGCACCTTTCACTTGCAGGAAGAGGAGGAGGGCGAGGGCAGAGTATACCAAAGACTTTGAGTAACTGGGAAAGAAAGCCGAGCTTGAAACCTGCTAACACCCGAAAAGCACGCCTTTCTTTAATAGTTACTCAAAGGCTTTGGTTTAAGGAGACGCTGCTTTAAGCTGCCCTCCTCCTTCTACAAACGAAAGGTGCCTCAGAGATGGTAGATTTCTCAGAACGCTAGATTGGGAAGTTAAAAACTTGAAATGGGGTACAATTAAGCTTGATTCAAAGGCTTTGGTCCAGAGAGATTGGGGGAGGGGGGGAGGGGAAGGAAGGGAAGGGAAGAGGAACAATCTCTCTAGAAAGACTTATCAGAATGCTAGATGGGAAGTTAAAAACCTGGAATGAGGTACAATCAAGCTTGATTCAAAGGCTTTGGTTCCTGAGGTCGCTGAGTTGCCACCCAAAACACTGGTACCGCGATCTCTGCAGTGCCCGTTTTACCTGCCCTGTCTCAGGCTGTTGCAGGTGGCAGAGATTGCGGTAATAGCATTTTCGGGTGGCAGCACAGTGATCTCTGGAGCCAAAGCCTTTGAATCAAGCTTGATTGTATTCCATTTCAAGTTTTTAACTTTCCAAACTAGCGTTCTGATAAAAGCCTTTGTAGAGAGATTGTTCCTCTTCCCTTCCCTTCCTCCACTCCCCATCTCCCCAGTCTCTCAGGATCTGCTTATTGCTATTGCACCCAGCTACCGTATCTCTTTGCTGCCCGACAGATCGTGTGTGTGTGTGTGTGTCGGATCTGTCATGCAGCAAAGAGACACGGCAGCTGGGCACAATAGCAGCAGTAGCAATAAGCACTGCATAACAGATCCAGAGATCTGGGCGGGGGGGGGGAGGTGGAGCAAGGGAAGAGAACCAATCTTCTCTGCACGAACTTTTCTCTGGACCCTCAATCTCCATTTTCTCTCCGGAAAATTGCTATTTGCATCGTCAGGATTTTGGCTAATAGAAGAAGCGCGGGATGAAAAGGGAACTTCGGAATATAGGAGCGCCGTATTCCTGGAGCCTGGCAGCTGCCGCATTCCAAAGTTTCCTTTTCATCTTGCGCTGCCACGAGGAACCTTTAATCCAAATGGAATCTATCCCCACCCCTTCTCATCCAATGGGCCGTTCCCAGCCAAGCACAATAGCAGCCATTCAGCAGCCCCCACATGTCTTTCGCTCCTAGCTGAAGAGAAGAAGTGAGCCAACTGCCGCTCCTTGGGCCAAGAGGCTCACCATCACTGCCAGTCCGAGGCAAGGGGAAAAACAATAAAATGTGGAGAAAAGCTGTTTATTCCTGCCCTGCCATGGGAGGGGTAGAGAAAAGTGGATTTGAGATAGATAAAACCCTTACTCTTTAAGAAGATCAAGCCCCACATGTCACATTTTTGCCCTCCCTAGGAGCACTTTGCAGGCCTCCCAAACTCTCTGCATGGTCCATTTTCCACAAAAATGGAGCGTGCAGATGGTTTGGAATGCCTGTAGAGAGCTCCTGGGAGCTGGGGAGGGCAAAAACCTTTTTAAAATTTACCTCTTCAAAATCTTGGTGCATCTTATACTCCGGTGCGTCTTATACTCCTAAAAATACGGTATATCACCACTCATTAACTTTTCAGTCATCACTATAATGGTTTCTATGGATCTCTAAATTCTCACCAAAATAGTTAAGAGAAAGTTTGTGGAACTCACCAAACCCAAATCATGTTTAGCATTAACAAACTAGTTGCATCTTCTGCTTAAGGGAAATATGGAATTGCCAGTTGTTCCTAGCTATTGATAGCTCTAACTTTCAACAGCTCTGAAAATACTGTCGGACTCCATGAATGAAGAAGAGCCCATGAGGCATCCCTTCTGGGAATACAGATCTTTTTCACTGTCAGTTTAGGGTTTACAGGCTGCATATTGATACATCCAAAAGTAGTTTTGGCAACTTTTCTGAGCTCTGTTTTGACAATCTTTTATATATTTAATTATTTTTATTATTTCAATAGCTAAGTGCATTTCAATTCTCATAGTTGTACACATGTTAAATTTCTATTTGCATAATTCAGCGCAATGCATTAATTAAACTCTGTTTAAAAAGCTTTTTAGTTCTAAGATGTATTATATATCCTGTGAAGGAATTTGACAGAGCTGTTAAAATTATACAGGCATTCAAATAACCATTAAATATGGAGTTTTTAAAAGTGCAGGAATTGAAAGCATTACTATCTAAAAAGTTAATATTGCAGGATTTGTCCAGAAAGTGTTGTATCAACATGTAATAATGTTGATAAATATTTAGACTTCACAACCAGTGTATAAATAATCTTCTGTTGATGGTAATAGGAATTTAAATTCATGGGACAATCACGTTCCCCTACTGTGTCACCAAGCAAGCAGCCTGCATTAGAAACAGAAGGAGATTTAACTCTTTTTGAGCAATATCGTAATGGAGGAAATCCCTTTGAAATCCAAGCCAACAACAAAGATGATGAGACAGAAGATGTGTTGGCTTCTAATGGGGTAAGTAAAAAGAAATAATCCTGCAAATTGTAATGCATAGAATATCAAACATTGATATTCAAAAGAAGTATGACAAAATAATTAGGAATCAGAGGGTGATTAGAAGTTTGTTTGGACATTCTCATTGCATTGTATAGCTTATATATTAAACTAAAAATACAAAGACTTTGGATGTGATTTATCTTGATCTAATATTTTTACATCTCAAAAACTTGGCATTTTAATTGGGGTTTTGTAGACTTTCTATGTCTATTGTAATTGGTTAGGCATATGGGCAATTGATGCTGTCATAAGATCAAATAGTGGTATCCTTACTATTAAGAACTGAATTCATTTGCCAGACAGAATGTTAAATTGTGCTCAGACATCTGACAAACACTTCTCCCATATATATCATCGAAAGAGATGGCTCACTTCATACAGAATGAAAGGGAAATAATTGGACATTTACAGCTGGTAACAATAATGAGAGAACATTTACTATTTCTTTAGATTTTAAAAGTTATATTGTTTAAAAAATAACTATTAAGATGCAAAGCTGCCCATTTGGAATTAGTCAGAAATCTTGGGCATAATAAATTAAAAGAATTGATATTTTACTCTGAGAACTAAATTACTCTTGTTTTAGGAATATTTTGATACTTTTTATTTTATGTTACCTGTCCATCTAATGAGTGCTGATTTGGAGTGGGCTATAGCTTCAGTGAATAGTACTTTCTCCTAAGTTGATGGAGACAGTGGTCATGCATGGGTTAACTCAGTCAGTAGAACTGAGTCTACCAAAGTGATGTCATCAGCTCTCCGGGGCATGCTCCCTCTTTTTCAGACTCAGTTCGATTGAACTGGCTGTGTTAAATCGCTCTCTCCTAGATTAATTGGTTAAAATTGATTGATTGATTGGCTTTTTAATTGACTTTCTCTAAATTCGCTTGCAAATTGTTTCTTTAAACTGATATTCCAGTCTGGGCTCCTGTTAAATTCTCTAAAGCCTCTGGGCTAGAGAACTTTTGCCGTGCCTCGTGGAGGTTAGCCTCTAAAAGCCTTCGGGCTTTCTGCCGAATCGGATTTCAGCAGAGCTTGCTGAAATAGCCGAGGGAAGCCCTAATCCTCTCAGCAGGGGACTCTCAGGTTGATGCCTTGCCACTTTCGCTGTTAATCGCCGCCGCTGCCTACAGGAGCTTCCAGATTCAGCGGGAGCCTAATTAGAGCCGAAGAATTCGCCGGCAGCTGGGGAACGCCTCTCCAGCTCCTGAGCTTCACAGTTTGTCGCTCCAAGGACAGTAGTGAGCCTCCACAACCTTACTGCAGGGCCTAACCCGCCCACGCTCACCACAAGGCCTCAGCTACCTCGTGGCTTCGGCCCATAGGCTCTGCAGCGTCAGTGGCCGTTGAAATTGGTGCGAAAAGTTCTGGCAGGCATTTTGAAGCAACAAACTAACTGTGAGTAACGGCTATGGCTCCTCTCCCCCTCCGGAGCCTCCATTACCTCCTCTGCCCTTGGCCTCTGCCCCTGATACCGAGCCCCCTGCCCCTAGGGGTCGCAGGCGCAGGCTTGCTCCTGCTGAAAACACCGAGCCTCCTCACATGGATCTAAGGCATGTTCAGGGGGAAGTGCAGGAATCAGCCCCTAGGAAGGAAGACAGGGCCCCTCAGGCTCCAGCTAAGAAGGCCGGGTCCAAGACTAAGCATGCTGAACCTCCGATACGCCAGGCCCAGAGACCTGTTCATTCTAGTCCTTCCCCTGAATTTTCTTCTGATTCAGAGGATGTCCTCTCTCCTGCTGCATCCATCTTGCAGCCCAAGGACGCTAGAGGCACAGTTATATTGGCCAACAGTGGGGATGATTCGGATTGTGACAGGAGTATCACTCCTGATGAGGATCCCTTTACCAGGGAAATATTTCTTAGTCTTCACGCCGACACCGTTCTTATTCACCAGGCATGGCGGACATGGTTTCCGAGGCCATTGAGCGTGGTATTGCTTAAACACAGGTCTTCTAACCGTTCTGCTTCTCGCAGGTCTATCTCTTCTTCTAGTTCCAGGCGCAGGGATGGTGATCTCTCGGCTTCCTTGTCACATGAACTACCTGGCACTTCTAACCAACAGTCGGTCTTTGGGGAAGAGGAGTGCCCGACAAGAGACTCAGACCTCTCAGGGAATGAGGGTCTTCCACCCGACCCTCCTCCCTTCGTCGGTTTGTTTAAACCAGCTGTCTTTCGTTCTCTCCTGTTTAAGGCAAAGAAAATTGCAGGCATCCCAGCCCCAAAAGCATCCCAGAATGCAGAAGCAGACAAGACTGACACCACTGATCCGCTCTTCATCTAGCCTACGGTGGAAAAAGAGGTGATCCCTTCACCACGTTCTTCATAGACGTTGTCAATCAGTGGACATCTCCAGGTACAGTAACCCTTCCCAATGCTTCGGACAAGCGTCTGTACAACGTCGCTCCTGACCTTGCCAAGGCCTTAAAGGTACCTTCTATTGATTTGCCGGTAATTGCCCTCTCCTCTCCCAACGCGGCCTCAGCAGCTCCGGAGGAAGCCCTACATCCAGAGGACAAGAGGATAGAGCAAACTCTGGTCAAGGGTCACCAGGCCTCAGCTTGGGCTGTTAGGGCGGGCACCTCAGCTTCCTTCTTTAGTCAATCCACTCTTCTGTGGCTGAGACAGCTTCAGGCTCGCCTTCCAGCCAGGGATTCTAGGGCTCGCAGGGACATCAATAAGATTAAGGCTGCCCTAGAATACACTGCAGATGCCTCACTGGACGCGGCACATTTTGCCTCCAAAGCCATTGCCTCCTCCATCTCTACCTGCCGGCTTATCTGGTTGAGGCAGTGGCAAGCGGAAGCGCGGGCCAAGTGGAGGCTTGCATGCTCTCCCTACTCTGCATCCCTTCTCTTTGGTCCTCCATTACAACTCCTTCTGGTGGAGTCCAAAGATAAGAGGAAGGTTCTGCAACCAGCCACTAAAAAGCAGGAAGGTCGGAACCAATCCTTTTACCGTAGGCAGTCCTTTCATGGCCAGGAGGGTAGCACTTCCAACTGCCGTCCCCAGTGACAGGCCCCTCCTAGACAAGCCCCATCCTTCTCCTATAGATCAGGCAGGAACAATCAGAGATTCCAGCCCAGAAAGCCCTTCAAGGACAATTCCAATCGTTCCTTTAAGAGGCAGAAGTGACTGCTTGGAGGATCTCCCAATAGCGGCCTTCGTGGATCGTTGGGACGACATCACCAACGACGTGTGGGTCAGGTCCACATTCAGATTCGGCCTTCTCCTGGGCTTATGCTCCAGCCTTCCGAACCACTTTGTCCCGTGTCCTATCTCCAGGGACCCTCAAAAAAGGCTCCTGGTAGAACAGGCCGTTCACCATCTTCTCCAGATTTGGGCCATTCAGTCTGTGCCTCCAGGCCAGGAGAGATGGGGGTTTTACTCTCATCTTTTTATCGTGCCAAAGTCTTCCGGGGGCTGGAGGGCAATTCTCAATCTAAAATTTTTAATTCAATTCGTCAAATACAGGAGATTCAAGATGCACTCTCTCCTATCAATTCTAGAGAGTATTTGCAGACACGATCTCCTCACATCAGTAGACTTGACTGAGGCTTACCTCCACGTGCCCATCCACAAATGGCACAGGAGGTTTCTCCTCTTTGTCCATGTGGGCCTCGATTTCCAATATCGGGCCCTTCCCTTCGGGCTGTCCTCAGTCCCAAGGGTTTTCACAAAACTTCTGTCAGTCGTAGCCGCACATCTGCGGGCCAGGCCCATCTGGATCTTATGCTATATCCTCTTGTTGTCCAGGTCACGTACCCCAGGCCCTCAGAGATCTCCAGGACACCCTTCAGGTGTTAGAGGAAGTGGGGTTCTCCATCAATCAGGAGAAGAGTCACTTCGTCCCCACTCTTTGCCTGGTGCACCTGGGAACCCTCGTAAATTCATCCCAGGGGAAAATCTTCCTGTCCCAGGACCGCCAGAGCAGTCTCAGGGAGTTAGCCAGAGAGGTACGGAGGAGGCAGCGGGTTCCTCTTCTCCAGCTGTCTCAACTGCTGGAGAAGATGGTCTCCTGTTTCTCTATCGTCCCTTGGGCACGGCTTCACAGCTGCTGCCTCCAGTGGTTTCTTCTGCCGTTCCAGAAGACCAACAGCAGCTATTCCTCAGTGAAGGTCCTCCTGACCCCGGAAGTCTTGTCATCCCTGGAATGGTGGATCTCTCCAGCCATAGCTCAGGGCTTTCTTTTCAGGGACCATCCACATCTTGTGGTAATGACAGACGCAAGCCTCACGGGCTGGGGAGCTCACTTGGAGGAACAAGTAGCGCACGGTCTTTGGTCCAATTCAGACCTATCACACAGTATGAATTGGCTAGACTTGAGGGCCATCCATCTATCTCTCCTTCACTTCCAGCCTTTTCTCCAACACTCACATGTGTTGATCTGGATGGACAACACCACGGCCAAGGCGCATGTCAACCGCCAGGGGGGAACGAGAGCTGCTTCTCTCATGGAATCTGCCTTTCAACTAGGCACCTGGGCGGAAGCCAACCTTCTCTCCCTACGTGCCGAACCCATCTCGGGGTCGGACAACACCACACCAGACTAGCTGAGCCACACAACAATCGACCCAGCAGAGTGGAGCTTGAATCGCCACATATTTCATCAGCTGTCAGCCAGGTATGGGACTCCAGCCTTGGACCTCTTCGCAACATCTGCCAACAACCAGCTGCCCAGGTACCTGTCTCGATACACAACACCAGGCGCAGAAGGGACGGACGCTCTCAGGTGCAGGTGGCCTCACGGTCTCCTGTATGCCTTCCCGCCCTTCCCCCTGATACAGAGGGTGATTTGGAAAATGCTGGAGGAAGAGGCCAAGCTCATCCTGGTCCCCCCAATTGGCCGCGCCAACCATGGTACGTGGAGCTGATCAATCTTTCAGTGGAACCTCAATGGCCCCTGCCAATGATTCCGTCCCTCCTTTATCAGGGCTCCATTCACCACCCAGATCTCAC